AACACGAAAGAAAACGAATAGTTTTGAAATACTAAAATTAAAATGAGAATATTTTAGTAAATATAATAATTTTTAAATATCAAAACTCATATTCTCTCCCCTCCTCTCCAAATCCCTTAATTAGGAGGAAACCATGCTTTTGTATTAAATTATTTTGCGTAAAATACAACAAACAAAAATTTATATATTAAATATTTCAAATGAAATAATTGTTTCTTTAAAAGATAAATACAATTAAATATTTAAATATATTTTGAATAGAAAGATAGCCGGTTATGAAAATTATTTCTTATATTTTAAAAATTATTAAATATTTGTATATATAAAATATTTCATAAATTTTTTTTAGTCTAGAATATAATATATGTTAGTATATTCTTGATGTATATTTAATATATAATACAATGTATTGTTATTCAAAAATACGGTTTTATTCGAATGTTATCAATTCTCTTATATTTTAACATAATATTTAGAGTTTATTGAAAGATAATCTTTCATAATGCTTTTATCCGGTTGATTCACTATCTTCTAATGAGAACTTTTTTGACAAATAGTGCTCAACTCTTGTTTGCATTTGATGCTTTACCATTGAAAAGAAAAGCAATCACATAAAAAGGTGAATAAAGTGATCGAGATTGAAGTCATATCGTAACACTCCGACGATATTAACAATTGTCGAACTCAAAGTCGACGCCGCAATTTTCTTTTTTAAGGTTTCAATCCATACTAACAACATATGTCAAAGATCCTCTCCATTCTACATTCCTTCTTTATCTAGCACACATAAGCAAAAGACAAATACCTTATTAGCACTGCATTAGCTTATAAAACTAAATAATAACAGGATTTAGAAACTAAACTAAAACGAAAATAAGGGAAAACTATTTACCAAAATTCAAAAACTAAATATCTAAATTCAAAATTCACGAGCGTCGCACATTATGCCTTGTTGAAAATATCAATAATCTCTGGTAATAGTGCCTAAAAACTTGATGGACAATTTACTGGCAAGTGTACTAGCGTTGTTATCAAAGTAGTAAAAATAAATCCGTCTACATAGGGATTGCAAATTTAGAACAAGAAATATTATTCGATTTAATTAAAAATAGTTAAGGGGGGGGGGGGGGGGTTTCAGGTTTGTTTGGTCGAAAAAACAAGAAATAAGTTTTGATAATAATAATGAGAAAAACAGTAGGTTGTATCATCATAATTCCCTATTTCTACTTGATTGACGAAACACACATTAACAGACATGCAATGACTACAAAGTTATATGACAGATTAACTCAACCAGTACACCCAATCCTTTGGCGTGTAGCTCACTAGCCTAATCGTTAATTCCCTGATCCCCCAAGTCAAATATATCATCAAACCAAGTAACACAGCGCACTAATCTCTAAGTCACAATTCCTAATCATATTATCCTTAATCAATTAGCGAATTCAACTATTAAAGTATGTCAGATAGATAGCCATAGGATCAGTAGTCACTGATTATCAAGATCGATTTTAATGTGGTAACAAGCAAAAAGCAATGTGCACAATCAATAACTGAATAACAACAAAAAGTTAGAACAATAACATTAATTTCAAGAGGCGAGTTAACACGTTTTTGCTCTATTTTCATCATTTTCTCATTAAGTGCCTTTTCTTAACCAAAAATTATTTTTTATCTCTAACTTGCTCATTTCTTGTCAAAATTGATCAATTTTTCTTGCTAAATAACATGCATTGTTAGCCCGTCATCAATCACACTTATATTTCCTCATGAAATCTAGCTAACAGATTGAGGTCTGATGCTGGAACACATACATATTGGCGATATGCCAAAATGCATCTTGTACATATGTTGCATTACCTAATGTAGCCAATCACATAGAATAACACTAATATTCCTTTATTTGTTTAGTATGTGCACGAAACATGGTTGACATCCTACAAAAAAGGTTTGTTGTTGCATGAACTAACAAAGTCATTCATTTAGGAAACACGACAACGAACAACTGCATTGATGTGACTTTGAATACATTATTACTAATTATCAGATAATGGCATCCTTTTTCTATTTAGGTTTTTAGGCTTGAGTATGCTCACTAGAGACTAAAAAACATGTTGACTACCAGCAAGGGGATTTATGCAGAAGTTTGAATGTTATGAACACCATGTTAAAGTTGCAACTAGGTTCAATCAGAGTGTCATTTCAAAAAAATTATTGCCAACATTGAGCATCAGTATAACACTGCATTTTACTCCATATTACACGACTTCGTTTCAAGACAGTGTATACAACATGTTGGAAAGGAGTTGGAAACGGTAAAAATTGTTGGTTCTGACAAAGATGTATGTTGTTGCTTAATTATAATAACACATATATTACCTTGTGCATGTCAACTTGCAGATCTTCAAATCTCTAGGTGAGCTTATTCCTTTAGAAGCGATTCACTTATTTTGGAAGAAACTATACATTGAAGATCATGAGTTCACTGAAGAAGATAATAGGACACAGTTGAATTTAGAAAAAGAGGGTGAAGAGTTGAAGATATTTCACAATACACTAGATATTGTAAGTTAGAGGGTGATGAAGAAAAAAGTTTAAAAACTAATACATTCATCCACAACTTTCATGTGTCTACCACTAGTGAAGTGCAAGCCAAAAAGGAGATATAAGAAGAGTAAAAAGGGTCAAGAGAGTAATATCGCGATCTTTCGTAATAGAAGTATGTTGAGGGTTCGTAGGAAAGTTAGACTACGAAAATATCGTGTACAAAACCAATTGAAAGTCAAATTATATATTATATTCAAAATATAAAATGACTTAATTAATTTTAAAATTTAGATTTTATAAAGAAATAAAATATATTTAAAATTTAAATATATATTAGAAAAATTTATTGACATTACTATATAACCTATTTTAACTTTATTTTTACAACAAAAAAAACTAATGTTATTGTATATATTAGATCATCTAAATAAAAAAATAAATCTTCTTTAATAAGTTAATATTAATTAATGTTTTTAAAATTTTAATCTTATGTATTACTTGTAAATAGTGAAGATTGAGAAACAAGAGTGTGTGTGTGTGTGTGTGTGCGCGCGCGCGTGCGTGCGTGCGTGCGTGCGTGCGTGTGTGTGTGTGAATTGGGTTTCATAGCGAAACACAATTATCATCAAAATACTTACAACCTCTAAGCTGTTAAACAACACACTTAACTCTCTCAAGCATCCAGGCTTTCACATATCCACTTAAGGAAATCATCAACCCACAATGGATACCTTCCATTGCCTTTTTGAGAATCTTGGCTCTCGCTAGCCTCTCAAAGAATCAACCTCCAAGCCGTTAGAAAATGATTTGACCCTCTCAAGCAACCTGACTAACAACTTACCCGCTCAAGGAATAACACCTTTTACAAGTATTTTTTTTATGCAGTAATATGCTTCTTACAAGCTGATTACACAAATGAAGTACATGAACACCTAAGTGTTTCTAGCAAGTTATGAGCAACAACTCCTTACTTTCTAATACAAAACTATCTAAAGAATGAATCTCTGAGAGATTATAAAACATTAGTTTTCTATTGCTTAAAAGCTTTCTTAATGAGCACTTTAACTTCTTTCATGGGCTTTAAGCTTCTTTTGATGAACACCTTTCTTGAGCAGGTAATGCTTCTTCCCAGCTTAACCATCAAGATCGACTAAGTTACTATGCTTCACTTATTGATGTTTCACTTGACTAGTTATACATGGTTTACCGTTGTACACGCATTCAAAAACTTTGCTTCAACTTCTTCTTCATTGAGCATTCTTCATTTAAGCTTCAGCTTGTAGCATTTTCTTCAGTACTTTGTCTTTGCATAGCGTGTTATCATCATCAACCAGCTATTGGCAAATCAGCAACAAGTCCATCCAATCAGCTTATCTTCAAGCTTCTTGATCTTCAATTTATAGAGCTTAAGAGAATAAACCCGTTGAGGGGTATTCTTGAAAACATATTCTAACGGCAATATCCCAATGTTCACATGAAGGAATGATCAACATCACTGTACAAAAAGCTGTTTTTGTGCCACTTTATCGAGGTAGAGGTCACCGTTTTTGTTTTCTTGTGTTCAGCTCAAAACCATTCTTATCTTCAATCTTTCTAATGTCTTCCGAGGCTTCAGATATTAACTTGATGAAGCGTGTCGTAGAAGAGTCAATTCTTTGCAACTTCAGAAACCCAGTCTTCATAATTCTAAGATCTTTGTTCAGCAAAACTATCTTGAGAATCTTTAGCACTTATTCTTTTAGAAGTAATGTCTTCAGAACCTTGTCTTCAGAGTCTTCAAAATTCATTAAGCACATTCTTGTCTTTAGAGTCTTCAGTACTTCGTTCACCTGAACCTTGTCTTCAGAAACTCTTTAAAACTTTAGCTTCAGATATTGTGTATTCAAAATCTTCAAAACCATGTTCACCTGAATCACGTCTTCATAATCTTCAAAACTTGTAACATTAGAAGCACATCACACTAGAAAGCATTTTAAACTTACTTATAAAGTCTTAATTAGAAATCCTGTTACTGACATTCCTTAGAACCGTTGCATTAGAAGTATTTATGAATCTTAACTTTATCTTGTTCACACATATGTTTTTTACTAGAATGTTGATAACAGAGTCTGATGACATCACACGTCTTTTTATCAAAGTCAAAATCATATTGACAACAGTCACACATTAGACATAAATCATATCATACATAATTGTTCTCTTAGATAACATGTGCAGATACCATCAAAACTCAAAGATTAGATTATTTTTATATCATATTAATTTTGATTGTTTAATTTAAGCAGCAAATAAATTTATTATATTATATTGTGTTATTAAATATTGCATTTAACAATAGATATTAAAACTAGTAAGAAAATTTTGAAAATTTGTAACAATAAAGACACTAAAAGCATTGGAATGACATGAATTAGGGGTTATGGTGTAGAGAAGAAGGTGAAGGAAAGCAAAGCATGGCAGGAATTGTAAACCTAAGTATAGGAGGCCCGTCGTCAATCCTAACCACGTCACGCCGTTCCCAATTCACCAAACAGTTGGACTCTGTTGACCAAAAATGGAGTAATTTGCAGCACAAACTCAACACCAACGCCAGATTCACTTGCCTCTTCTCAGACAATAACAAAAAAGAGGTGTTAACTACTATTTCTTTTCAATTGCAATTCGATTTAATAATCGAAATTTGAACTACTTCACTGTTTTAATCTGTTTTTAATATTCATGAATTATCATTTGCCTTATCCTTAGCCAATTGCCAAGCGTTTTAGGGATGATTGTGAATTATTTTTCTCTTTGCGATTTGAGTATTGTAATTTCTAGCATTTCATGAATTCTACACGTTAGAATGACATTTCAAATGGATTATTGAAAAAAGCCAACAAAAATGGATTAAATTAACTTAAGGAGTTTATTATTCCTACTAATAGAAAAGCATAGAATGTAGGGCAGGCGCTGCAATTTGAATATTGTTCAAAATTCGATTCGACAACTAGATCGTTGAACTTGATTCATGAACTAAATGAGTTGAATATAAGTAAAAAATGATGTTCGTTAATTAAATGAGCTGAATTTAAATTATGTATACTTCTACATCTTAGGTTCATGAGTCAACTTTTTTTATGGGAGAAACTTTTCTGGTGGTAGTCAGCGGCAGCAGGTTGCCACCGGAAATGGCTGTAATTAGCTCTTGTCACATAATTAGAACCTACTCTAATACCATGCTGAATTTGTGATTTCTGACCACACTCAGCTCTATTTAAAATAGAATATAGAATGAAAATAATAGATAAAATATATGCCAATTGATACAATTTGCTAATTTAAATCCTAATAATAAATATATGGATTTGATTTTAACCGTTTCTATATGCACTTTATTGTCACACGACTCTTAGATCTGAAGGTAATCTCATAATGCAATGCTGATCATCATTTTCTTTTCCTTTACCGATAATCTTTCGAAGAAGCCCTTCTTAACTGAACTTGTCTGGTTTGTTATTTACCTTAATTTATTCTGTTAGCCTGTTCATGTAGCACAGTTTTAGTTTTTATGATAACCAGCAAAATTGCATTATGCACTTTAGTTTGAGAAAGAAAAATAATTCTCACTATCGGTTTATACTGATCGGTGTCACAATTAATTGTCCGTAGAAACTAGTTTATCACTAAAATCAATTTCATATCTTGTGATGTTGGGTAGTGTATATTGTCTTTGGTACCTGGCAAAACTGGTGTGAAGGAAATGAAACTATAATTGATTTTGGATTGCAGGATCAAGCTAGAAAGGCATTAGAAGGTGCACTAAGTGGGAAGAAGGTTGAATTTCAGAAGTGGGACAAAGAAATCAAAAGACGAGAAGAGGTAGGAGGTGGAGGAGGTGGCACCAGTGGTGGTGGAGGAGGTTGGTTTGGGTGGGGTAGATGGTTTGGCTGGTCTAATGATGATAATTTTTGGCACGAAGCAAAACAAGCTAGTCTTACTATACTCGGCATCGTTCTTGTAGTAAGAAATTCTCTCATACCACTTTCAATTCTTTTGCTGATAGTCATAAATTTGAAATTAATATTAAAACTATTTTACCTTCCCTTCTCTCCCTTCTTTTGCAGTATCTCCTAGTTTCAAAAGGTGATTTAATCCTCGCCAGCATCATCAATCCATTGCTGTATGGACTTCGAGGAGTGAGAAATGGATTCGGTCTCACAGCATCAGGAGTTTTGACAAATAGTTCTAACCGTGATCAGCCTGATTTTGACGGCTCTTTGAAGAAGGAAGGCTACAAAAGTGCTTCTGCTAAAGAGAATGTTGTAAGAAAATGGGGTAGTGATTAGTATTTAGTGGATTTACTTGTTTGTAACACAAAAGGTTTTGTCTTCCCTTGGCATGAATAATTAGTTTTGGTTTTCTCTGTGGTTGTCCTGAGAATTTAGGTCATGTGCAAAATATTCTTTACAAGCTTGCAAATGGTAAGGTGTTTCTCTTAAAAACTGAGTTCGGAGTTGTTGGGTTAATCTCGGCGCTTCTTTTTTTTCTAAACCTATAAGGTATTTTCTTCTCTCTGGTTCTTGATTAGTTAATTATATGGAATAGAAACCCTGTATGTAGTAATCTGATTGAATTATTTGTTCATTTCCTTTTCATCTGGAGATGAGTCACATGAACAGTTAATTTGCAGATAAATTGAGCTGGCATGAAAGCTGGAATTTGCTTGTTTTGAGGCATGAGAATGCATCTGAAGATGAACCAATTAACCACTTTTGAAACACAAATTTATGGACAAGTTTTTCTTAAGAGTGTGCAAGGTGAGTCATCGGAAAAATGTCCAAATTTTGTTACATGTTATACAAGAAACAATATAATAATAATAATAATAATAATAATAATAATAATAATAATAATAATAATGAACGATTGGATTGGTATTTGATGTCAAATTAAGAGTGAACATGATCATCTATCTGTAAGACGATTCTATAATAGCTACGTGCTTTCCTCTATCCTCATCATATTTCCAACCAAAATGACGGACCTGATAATATAATCGAGCTACATTCCTGTTGTCCAATAATTAATAGAATGATTACTAATAACTAAATCCTTCCAAAAATAATTATTCAACTTTTCATTAGCTGGCAATTCACTCATTGTTTAATAAGTCTTCAGCAAAATGCCACAATGTAAGATTGTAATCAATCTCCTACAGAAATCATAGATTCTTATCTCTAAAGTACTATTTTTTTTTATAGAATTATTGAATATCTAAATAATTTCCTTCTCTTAATTACATGAATGAGAAATATTCAACAGGTATACAACCTATTTATACGATTTTTAAGTTTTAAATTGTTTTTCTTCTCCAAATTATTATTTTTCTCTATTTTAACTGACCGAGGCAAGGTTTTCGGTCTACCTCTCTAATTTATTAGCCAACTCTAGCTTTATTAAAAAAAAAATGCGGACATATGCGACTATGCGAGACAAACATGTTTCTTTAATATTAGGAGACCGTCTCGTTCTTAACCGTGGTGGATGCTGATTGTCACTCTAACCATTTTTGTAAATAAATTTAATTATTTTTATTTATTTAACTATTTATCAATCTGATTTTATCAATTATATTGGAGTTAGTGTAATTTTGTAATGATTATTATAAATTTGTCTAAAAAAATAGAATAATAATTTTAGAATGAATATTCATTATTTGAGCAAGATGTGTTACAAGTGACCTTCACGATGACTAGGTTACATCTCCCCCATATTTGTCGTTCAATATTTCTGTATTACGGATCACCACACGACCATTTCTTTCTCTCTCTTCTTCATGCAACATTTTCTTTACCATATTTCAATCTTCTGTTACCCTTCCATACATTTCTCTCTAGTCATAATCCCAACACAATCCCTCAATTTGTAACATTTTCTATTCTTCTATCTAGCGGGTTTGTTTCTTTGTTGCTAACTATAAGGTGGTGGTTTGCCACCTTTGATGTCTTTGACTGTTGGAGTGATCTAAACTCCAATTGCAAAAACATGGATTCTGATCGTGAGATATCCAGTGATCATGAAGAAAGTGGCAATGAGCCAACGAAAAACATTAGCAGACACATGAGTGAAAGTTCTATGGCTGCCACCGAAGAAGATGACGACGACGTTGAGAGGAAGATTGATTTGGGTCCTCAATTCACTTTGAAAGAACAACTTGAAAAGGATAAGGTTCACTTTTCTTTTCTCAACATTCTTTCATGATTCATCACATGTTTATCATTTATGCATTTTGTTAATTGTTTTCTTTGTTGGATCCTTAGGATGATGAGAGCTTGAGGAAATGGAAGGAACAACTTCTTGGAAGTATTGACATGAGTTCCGTTGGAGGTATAGTTATTTATCTTCTCTGAATCACCGACACCTCTAAACAATACATGTATAAAGCCTGCCACGTGTCAGTATCTGACATCAACGCAACACTGGTGTATTACTGTCTGTGTCTATGTTTGTGCTTGATAGATTATACTACAGAATTTTACCTAATTTCTCATATTTTTTTTGTTATGAATTACTATAAAAGAAACTTTGGAGCCAGAAGTGAAGTTTCTGAGTCTGGCGATAAAATCGGAAGGGAGAGAAGATATGATTCTACCTGTACCCGAGACAGGAAATCCAAATGGCTTATGGTTTACATTGAAAGAAGGTTGTCGTTATAGGTTGATGTTCACATTCCAAGTAAACCATAATATTGTTTCTGGTCTTAAATACACCAACACTGTTTGGAAAACTGGTCTCAAGGGTAAGTAAGTACATTTTAGATGATTGATTAAAATTTTAAATTAATATAGTAATTTGTGAGGTTTTTTACAGTTGACAGCACTAAAGAGATGATAGGAACATTCAGCCCTCAAGCAGAACCTTACACGCATGAAATGCCAGAAGAAACAACACCATCTGGGTTATTTGCCAGAGGGACATACTCTGCTAGAACTAAGGTCTTATTTTCATATGTCTATGACTATTATGTTTGCTTTTTGAATTTTGATTCTTATGTTCTAATCATCATTTTGTGAAATGAATTTTGAGTCTTATATTTTAATGAATATGAATCTTATGTTCTATCCCCTTCACATCATTTCAATGCTCTTTTCATGAGTTTGATATGAATCTACTTATACCTCCAACAACATATGCAATGTTTGGTCATCATCATCATCATCTACTATGTCCTCTCCTCGCAATCCCTCGTGTTCTATCTCATCATCATCTATTATATCCTCTCCTCGCAATCCCTCTTGTTGATCTTTCATCTTCTTTGGATAAACGTGCACCTTTCTTGAGTGATCGAGAATGAATATAACAAAATTTGTTGTGCCACCAAAGGACCTTTCATATCTAGATCACACATACAAGAAAAAAAGATCTAGAGTTTGCTTTCTTCTACTAGCACCATCTAATCTTTGAAAAGACACCATGTGTTGCTTGCCTTCTAAATGATCTTCACAAGATTCAACAGTTTTCCTCTGTATGCATGAAAAACATTCACCACTCTCTTTTATTATTATCATTCCTTGCATAATATACAAGGTGCCTAGCTTTTTCACACGAGCAATAGTCATGCTTCATTTACTGAGCTTCCATCTCCCACCTTTAAATTGATTTGTCATGCATTAGCTTGAACATATATCTATAGTGAGTGATATAACTCTCCATCAGGAACTAATTATGGCACCATTGACATTAACTATAGATTATCAAAATTCTTTTAATTATTTATTGGATTATACAGTGCATTTGTTGACTTTCCTTTTTGTTTGTGGATGAATTTTCAGTTTGTTGATGATGACAAAAAGTCTTACTTGGATATCAACTACACTTTTGATATTAGGAAGGATTGGCTTTAGTTTATGGATGGATTTTTCTAAGTTGCTTTTCAGTTGTTTATTTATTTCTAATTATGTTTGAGATCAGAAATCTTAACAATGATCACAGAGTTTAGGAAGAAATCAAAGTCATATTCATTTGGCACATCATTGTCAATAAAATTGAATTTGTCTCTGTGCTCTAAGTTACTTCTCAGTCTTGCTCATTGTAATTATCCTAGTAATAATAAGTAGCATTTCTTCGTTTTATTGTTTGTTATTTTGTGATGATACTTGAGCACACAATGTGTTGAACTCATTTGAACTTGTAAATTTCAAATGCAAAATACATTGTGATCTTTGAAGTTGGTTTTGTTATATCAAGTTAGGCAAGTTTATTTTAGTTTTAAAAAATGATTTTTATGATGGTACATATTTTTGTTATTACTTTTTAAAATTTTAAATAAATAATTGATTTGAATAATTTTTTTATAAAATATTATTTTAAATATTTAATTATTCTACTATTTTTTTAATATAAGCATTTTAAAAAATTACTTAAATTTTAAGTTATTTGAAATAATTTTTTTTTATAAAATTTATATTTAAAATATATCTTTTTTAAAAAAGCTATGTGATTTTAGCTATATTTTAATCTTCAATAATATTGTTGGATTCAAAAACTATTTTTTTTAATTTATAAAAAAAGAATTTTATTTTAATATTTTATTTTTTTTATAAAAAACATTTTTTTAAAAATAAAACAAATAGAATCTTATACTAAATGTACATATTTTAAATATTATGTTGACTAAAACATACATGTATATTGATAGGACGATTTCCTATTAAAATTATGCATTTTGGGTTTGTACACTAGGATGAAAAAGATTATTGTAAGTATGGATCAGTCTGCAAATTCCTTCACCCAACTCAACTAATCTTTATTTTTATTTTTTTTAAATAAACTATCTAGCATGGTCTTTAGAATATATATATATATATATATATATATATATATATATATATATATATATATATATATATATATATATATATATATATATATATATATATATATATATATATATATATATATATATATATATATATATATATATATATATATATATATATATATATATATATATAATTAGAAGAAATTGATAAAAACTGTTGTAGTTTTATTCTTCAGGCAAAGACTGGTTTATATAATGAGAATACAATAAAAAAAATTAATTCTCTCCTTAATGGAGAATAAAAGAAAATAAATGTAAACAATTAAATATGGAAATAAAATATTTTTCATCACCCCCCTCAAGTTGGTGTATAGATATCTATCATGCCCAACTTGTCTATAAAATGCTTAAAGGTAGGTTTTGCCAAACTTTTGGTTAAGATATCTGCAGTTTGCTGACTTGAAGTCAGAAAGGTAGACATATGATTCCAGCATCTAACTTCTCCTTTATGAAGTGTCGATCAATCTCAATATGCTTGGTTCTGTCATGTTGAACTGGATTATGAGTTATGCTAATAGCAGCTTTACTGTCAGAGTACAATTTCAATGGAAGCTCATCTTTCATCTTAAGTTCTTTTAAGACTCTAAGGATCCATAATCCTTCACAAATACCTTGAGACATAACTCTAAACTCGGCTTCTACACCACTCCTTGCTACAACGCCTTGTTTCTTGCTCTTCCATGTCACAAGATTACCCCAAACGTAAGTACAATATCTAGAGGTTGATCTTCTATCGGTGAATGAACCTGCCTAATCAGCATCGGTAAAGATAGACACATTCCTTTCACCAGTCTTTTACAAAATAATCATTTTCCAAGATTTCCCTTCAGATATCTCAGTATCCTATAGACTGCCTCAAGATGTTCTTCGAAAGGAGAATGCATAAACTGACTTACTACACTGACTGAGAAAGAAATATCAGGTCGAGTGTGTGACAAACAAATCAGTTTCCCAACCAATCTTTGATATATTCCAGTATCAACAGGATCATTACCTTCTCCCCAAAGTTTAGCATAAGATCCATAGGGGTATCTGCAAGACGACATCCATTCATTCTTGTTTCTTTCAATAAGTTTAGAATGTATTTCTGCTATGAAACCATAATACCATTCTTTGACCGAGCAACCTCCATGCCTAGGAAATATCTCATGAATCCCAAGTCCTTGAATTCAAAGTCTACTGCCAATTTCTCTTTTATCCTTGCCATTTCCATTGTATCGTCTCTAGTAAGGACAATATCATCAACATAAACAATTAGAACAACAACTTTCTCATCGTTGGAGAATTTTGTGAACAAGGTGTGGTCAGTCTGTCCTTGAACGTACCCTTGATTCTTCATGGACTGAGTGAATTTTTCAAACCAATCTCTGGGAGACTGCTTTAATCCATACAAAGACTTGTTTAGTTTGCATACATTTGATCCAAATTTATTTTCAAAACCAGGAGGAATGTCCATATATACTTCTTCTTCTAGATCACTATAAAGAAAGGCATTTTTAACATCTAATTGATGTAGGGGCCAATCCAGGTTAGCAGTAAGAGATAAAAGAATTCTTATAGTGTTCAATTTTGCAACAGGAGCAAATGTCTCTGAGTAGTCTATACCATAGGTATGAGTGAAGCCTTTAGCCATCAAGCGAGCCTTGTACCTTTCAATTGACCCATATGAATTGTACTTCACATCAAACACCCATTTGCATCCAACTGTCTTCTTGCCATCTGGTAGCGACGTAACATTCCAAGTTTTGTTCTTTTCAAAAGCTTTCATCTCCTCAAGTACAACTTCCCTCCATTTTGGAATTTCTAGAGCAACCTGTACACTATTTGGAATTTCTACACTAGACAATTATGAGATGAAAGCAGACATAGATGAAGACAAATTTGAATATGAAATAAAATTGGACATGGGGTGTTTAGTGCAAGATCTGACAGGTTTTTTAATGGCAACAAGATCATCTATATCAGGATATAAAATACGACTCTCAGAAACAGAGATACAATTGCCTTTCCTTTTGTTAGGAGGTTGATCATTCCCTAGTTCAGATTCCTGGCAGTGTTGAGATGTGGACCCGTCCCTTCGTTTATGGTGCTTTTTCATAAAAACTTTCCCTTTCCAAGTCCTGTTTCCTAATTCGAATCTGTTTTCTTGAAGTGACTCATTATTTTGTGGCATTTCAATTAGATCATCATTATCATCGTTTTTAGGATTCTCATTGTTTTCTACAAGAGAAAATGTAGGCTCGGATTCATAAGGCTCCTTACTCATAACAAGAGTAGGATTAGATACAGAATCATGGCCATTTTCTGTTGGTGCAGATGTAGAAGTCTCAGAATTTTGTGGTACATGCAAAGATAAATTTTTCAAAAAACTCATGTCCTCAATTTGAAACGAGTCTTCCTTTATCTCCCCTCTTAAAGATGAGTGTCATCAAAGAAAGGTTTATTTTCAAAAAATGTAGCATCCATAGTGACAAACATTTTCTTGTTTTTTGGATTAAAACATTTATATCCTTTTTGGGTTGAGGAGTATCCAACAAATACACAGTTTATAGCACGTGGCTCAAGTTTTCCAACACTTTTATTTTCATGAACAAAAGTTGTGCAACCAAAAATTTTTAAAGTCAAATCAGTTAAAATAAGAGTACTAGGAAAACATTCTTTGAAGGCATTAATTGGAATTTGAAAATTGAGAATTTTGTAGGGCATTCTGTTAATTAAATACGCAGTTGTTAAAACAGCTTCGCTCCATAAATAATTTGGTACTTTATTCGAAAAAAGTAGAGCTCTAGCAACCTCCAATAAATGTCTATTTTTCCTTTCGGCCACTCCATTTTGATGAGGAGTATTAGGATACGAACTTTGATGTACAGTCCCATTTTTTAGAAAAAAAATCATCCAAGATAGTGTTAAAATATTCTTTGCCATTATCACTTCTAAAAACTTGGATATTTGTTTGAAATTGGTTCTGCATCATTGAAAAAAAATTCTTTACAGCCTGACAAACATCTGATTTCCCCTTTAACAAGTACACCTAACATACTCTTGTATGGTCATCTATAAATGTGATAAACCATTTTTTGAGAGAGAGAGTGTGTACTAGTACGGTTAGGGCCCCAAACATCACTGTGAATAATAGAAAATAATTTTGATGGTTTATAAGGCTGTATTGAAAAGTGAGAACGATGATACTTTGTAAACTCACATGCTTCACACTTAAACGAAGAAAAATTCTTATTGTGAAATAACTTAGGAAACAAGTGTTTTAAATAACGAAAACTAGGATGACCTAATCTTAGATGCCATACCATAATGTTGTCATTTTTATTATTCAAAATAGAAAAAGACTCAAAGCAGGAACTTATTGTTAAAGGTAGTTGTGATGCAGATCCAATGTCAAGGTAGTAGAATCCTCCACTCTCCTTAGCACTGCCAATCATCTTCCTTGAGTTCAAATCCTAAAAGACACAGTGATATCGGAAAAAATTAGTTTGACAATTTATATCTTGGGCTAATTTACTGACGAACATTAAATTACACGATAAGTTTGGAACATGAAGGACATTTTTAAGAGTTAATATTGGAGACAACACAACTGACCCTTTACCTGCAATGGCTGAAAAAGAGCCATCTGCAATTTTTATTTTTTGATTACCTGCACATGGACTATATGAAGAGAACAAAGTAGATTCACCTGTCATGTGATCAGAGGCACCTAAATCTACTATCCAAGTATGACTGTGACTGACACTAAGAAGTGCATAATTACCTTTTATTGCTATAGAGCAAGAAGGGGTTGGAGACTCGAGGAGTTTGTACAGTTTATCTAGTTGTTCTGTAGTAAATAGAAGCTGAGTTGTAGGGGATTTCTGCCCTTGATCAGAATTACTAGCCTAAAATGCACAACCATCTTTCTTCTTCCAGTTCGAAGGTTTGCCTTTGAGCTTCCAACAGGTTTCACGTGTATGCCATTCGCGCTTGCAGTGATCACACCAAGGAACTTTATATTACCTTCTTCCCTCGTCA